AATTAAGTAAAGAGTAAATTATATAAATCATATATTTATATGCTTAGCTGATTCATGAATCAAGCAAGCAGAACTATACAGAACTCAAATTTGACTCATTTATTTATCGAATTTAATTTTTAACTAAAATTTGGTCATTTAGTTTATAAACCAAGTTAAACAAGTTAATTCTATAATCATGAAACTTTAAGGTATCCTATTCTTTTATTATTAATAACTTATAACTAAATTTTTAAGGTTCTTTTAAGCTTTAATAAGCAAGAATTAAATTGAAAGTCAATTATATAAATTATATATTTATATGCTATTTGATTCATGAACCAAGCAAATAAAATTATACACCACTCAAATTCGACTCATTTATTTATCAAATTTAAATTTTAACTCAAATTTAACTTATCTAATTCATGAATTAAGTTAAACAAATTAATTATTGAATCGAATTTTAAATTATATTTAAATTGGTTTACTTCATTATCACCGAATAATGCTAGTCAATTATCTTAACTTGCTTACATAGATATGTTTATACAACTAATGTCTTAAAGCATTGCTAATCAATTTATAAGCCTAGTAAATTCTTTTACCTAAAAAAAAAAAAAAAGTAAGGCTAGTAAATTGATCGCTAATGAAAAAATCCGTTGATTTAAATGGTGAAATCTCGTGAGTCGTTTGCATAGCATCCATAATAAAAGAAATGGTAAAATGCATTGGTCAATACTATTTTATTTCCGCTGGAAGGATCATTATTTAGTTCCAACAATATTTTTGCTTATAATCCTACTTGCCAAAAAATATTACATTTGAGAAAACCTAAAAATGTTTAAACAATGTTACTCTTCTATTTCATGGATAACTTCCAACTCAAAATTTTGATGTGTTGCTGGTACAATGTTTGTTCTAGAAAAAGGAGTTGGAGGTTCAATTAACTCCTCTCCATCCCCTTCAAGCATTTGTACCACAATTTTTATTGAAGGACGATTCACTGGGTTCCACTGAATGCACCAAAGTCCTACAATGGCAAGTTTCTTTGCAATGTTAACATCCCCCTCATCTTCAACATTAATTTGCACGTCTCTGCCTTCAAGCAAATTATGGATCCATTCAGGGTACAAAACTTGGAAACTTTCCTCGGCTGATACATTTGTATTCTTTCTTCCTCCAACCATTTCCAACAGCAACATCCCAAAGCTGTAAATATCAGACTTGTAAGACACATTACCAAAGTTCCTTGAGAAAACTTCAGGGGCAATGTAGCCCAAGGTTCCCCTAGCTGCAGTCATAGACACTGTACTTTGATTTTTGGGACACAACTTTGCAAGTCCAAAATCAGTGATTTTTGGGACCATGTCGTCATCTAGTGAAACATTGTGAGGATTGATGTCAAAGTGAAGTATTCTATGATCACAACCAAGATGGAGATACTCAATTCCTCTTGCAACACCCAAGGCAATTTGTTGCAACTTCTCCCAACCAAGAAAAACATCCTGTTTCTCAGGTGGAGCCAAGAATCTCTGCAGTGACCCATTTGGGAAGAAATCATAGACGAGAGCACGGTGGAACCCATCATGACCCGCGCCGGGCGTGATCAAAATAGAGTCTCACCTCTACAAAGCCACATCTGCGCCAGGCGTAAAATTAATTGCGCCAGGCGTGTCCTAAGGCAGAAAGTATTTGGAAGACCCCGCGGCGGGCGTGAAGACTTATGCGACGGGCGCGAAACCCTAATCTGATCTCCCCAAGCTCGTATTTGAAGCCATTTTCGAGGGTTTCTCCCTCATTCACACAATGGGCGCGTTTTAGGAGCTGTGGAAGGGATTCCCAGAGCTTGGAGCCGTTCGTGTGTGGGTCTTTCCTTCGGTTCTTCATTTTGCTCTTTCATCTCTATTTTGTATTTACCCTCATTGTTGAGTGGTTCTACCCATTTTTTGTGGGGTTAGATGTAACCAACATACTCTAATGTAATCCTTACGTTTTCAATGATATATATATGTTATTCATTCATTGTTGTGTACGTTTCTATTCTTAATGCTTGCTTTGGATTGATTCTTCCTTTGCATGATATAGGTTCCATTGGGTGTTGGAAAATAACCATTGAAACTAGCTCTGAAACAAATTCCTAGTGGGAAATGTATCTAGGAATGGAGCTTGGCCCATTAGTAGTCTTAAAACCTAGCCCGTAATGCGGGTGTAGATATTGGGTACTCAAGGAATTGATATTCAATATCCGCACCTAGGCTCTTGCTCTAAGGGATTAGGTTTGAGTAAACTTATGGGTTGACTAAGCAATGTATGTAACATAAGGTTAAGGATTCATTAGTTTAACGTTTGGTGAAATTTGACCCCACAATCTCACAAAAAAAAAACCATATTACCATTTCTATCCTTTTCCACACACAAACCAATATTTTTATATATCTTTCATTCCAATAGTCATAACCTTGAATTCACATGACAAACTATGAAATTGGAATTATTCTTTAGTCATGAATAGTCAATAAATGCTTATGTTACCTTCTAATCCCTGTGGATAGGATAATTTTACTACTTGAACGGCCGGTATACTTGCGTGTTTGAGACCGTTTATAGAATTAAACTGATTTACAATTATAACAAAAGTATTCAACGGAAATCTCAACAAGTTTTTGGCGCCGTTGCCGGGGATTAGCAAGGCAATTTAGTATTTATAGTTATTTGTGACTTGTTCCTTTACTTTTATTGTTAATTTTGATTTTAGCAAATGAATTCTTTGGGCTGACTTGTGCACTCTAGTCTTTTGTTTTCTCTTGTATGCAAGGTACTATCCGAACCAGAGGTACTGCTTCTTCTGAGCCATTGTTGAACGATCCTGAGATTGAACGCACGACAAGGAGGAATAATAGCAACAGGAGGAGAAGGAGGAACAGAGCAAATCCAGTTGGCCAACCAACCACTCATATTCTGAAGTTTTTGTTTATGAGATTCCTGAGTTCACTATGGAAGGTGAAGTTGGTGCTCACAATGACAATCAAAACCGGAGGCGCACTATAGGTGATGCTTTCACCTACACTAGCCCGAGGGAGTTCTCAAGCATTGTGAGGCCTACAATGAATGACAGACTAGCAGAAATGAAGCCTGCACTTCTATAGCTTATCAGCTCTCATCAATTTTCTGGCCTGGATCATGAAGACCCACATACTCATCTCTACATTTTCTATGAGTTGTGTGGTTCAGTTGGAGTTTCTGGGGCTGATGAAGAGGCGCTATTCATGAGGTTGTTTCCATTTTCTCTGAATGGGAAGGCTAAGGCTTGGCTTCATTCTCAGCCAAATCAAAGCCTGACCACTTGGAGGGATGTGGAGACTAAATTCTTAGCCAGGTTCTTTCCCCCGTCCAAGAACACTAAAGCCAGAACTACTATTTCTACTTTTGCTCAAGGTGCGGATGAGCCATTATGTGAAGCGTGGGAGAGGTACAAATCACTGTTGAGGAGGTGCCCCAATCATGGTTTTGAGGTGGAACATCAAGTTCATACTTTCTGTAATGGGTTACAACCTCAAACCAAGATGATACTGGATGCTTCTTTTGGAGGGTCAGTCATGTTTAGAACTGCTGAAGAGGCTATCACAATCATTGAGTCCATGGCTTCCACAGACTTTAGGAGCCAGCATGGTAGAAGCTCTTCACACAAGAGGGGAGTTTTGGAGCTGAGTACTCAAGATGCAGTGTTATCTCAAAACAAGATACTTTCCCAACAGATTGAAGCCTTGAATCAACAGATGGCCAAGCTTCCTCAACAACTTCAAGCTATGCAATCTAATGCTCCTCCTATGCAACAAGTTATGTCGTGTGATTTTTGTGGAGGTGACCACCCTAATGGTTATTGTGCTGGATCATCTAGTTCCCAAGGTGAAGCAGTGAATTATATGGGGAATCAAGGGCGGCAAAATTTCTCTCAACACCCCTATCCGCAAAATTCAAATCAGGGGTGGAGAAATAACTATGGTGGAAACAAGCCAGACATGAATGCTTCATCAAGTAGCAGGCCTCCACATCAACACCAACACCCACCTTTATATGAGAGAACCACCAAGTTAGAAGACACATTGCAACAATTCATGCAATTATTTATGTCCAACCAAAAGAACACCGATGCTTCAATCAAAAATCTGGAGATACAGGTGGGGCAAATAGCAAAGCAGCTAGCAGAGCAACAAAAAGGTTCTTTCTCCCCCAACACCGAGCAAAACCCTAAGGGGCACTAAAATGGAGTATGCACGTGAAGTGGTAGGGAATTTGTGGTGAAGGAGAGTGAGAAGAATAATGAGAGAGCCAAGACTATGAAGAAGGAATGAAGGGATTGAGTCGGTTGAAGGAAATAAAATGAAAATTGAAAATAACAAAAAGAGTGACAAAAAGGAAGAAATTGATAAAGAGAAAGAAGGAGAAAGTAGAGAGAAAAAGAAAGCACTCATGGAGGATGGAAGACTCTGCTGTATCCTTTATTTCAGAGACCTTTGAGGTCTCTTCTTGTCAGGCTCGGGACATTAAACAAGCGCTTCCTGGGAGGCAACCCAGAGATCTGAACTGTGTTTTTATGTGTTTTTCAGTTACTTGTTGTTTTTAACTTTGATTGTTTATGATCGTATTATAATTGAATGCTATACTTATTTATGGGACTTGTTTTGTGATTGTTTATGTTCTGTGATATGTATGTTGTATCGTATTATATGTGTTTTGTGTTAGATATTAATTGTGTGAATCTTGCTTGAGTGGGTTAATATAGATTAGAATACGTTAAGAGTGTGAGGAGTGGAAAATCTAGGTGAAAGCTTCACAGAGTTAACCATGCCGAGCGCGACATAGCCACGCCCAGCGTACCTAAAGTAAATTGGCCTCTGCCAAGACCCAAGCCAGGCGTAATTTCTATTGCGCCCGGCCCAGCCTTCATTAGAGCCCCTGGAACGACCAAGCCCGGCGCATTTATTGGGGCGCCGGGCGCATTAACTACTGGAAGGTCTGAGCCTTAAATACGCCGGGCGTGTATCTTCCCAAGCCCGGCGCATTGAATGTTTGAACGTTGTAACCTTAGTTAAGCCCGGCATGAAACGGAAGCGCTCGGCGCCACACCAGATTAGGGTAACCTTTGGGCTTCTACTGATATGGCGCCTGGCGTGGAAAATGGCACGCCCGGCGCGCCCCTTCAGAGGCCTTAACCTCTCAACTTCTTCTCCCACGTTCCCACTCTCTCAACTTCCCACTCTCCCACTCTTCACTCTCAACCCCTCAACTCCCCTCTCTAAACTCTCTCAAATAACACTCCCACTTTCCCATTCAGTCTCTCAACTCCATCTTCCCACAGTCTCTCTCCCACGCGAACTCTCACTCTCATCTCCATTCATCTTCTTCATCAAGGGTCCATCAGGGCATACATCTGCTGAGTCTTCTTCCTCCACACACTCCACCCTCAAGTAGGTTCTTTTATTTGGTTTTCCTTTCTTTTCCCCGTTTTGTTTTGTTCATGGCCATTTTGGGTCTCCTTGTGGGTTCCAACTGACCCACATTGGGGTGCAGTCACGCCAGGCACAGTGCCCTCGGCTGAAGCTTCGAAACGGCCCGTTCAAATTCCAGAACGGCCCGTTTTGAACTTTGGAACGGACCGTTCCATTTCCAGAACGGCCCGTTTTGGAATTTGGAACGGACTGTTCCAATTCCAGAACGACCCGTTTCAGACTTAAGAACGGCCCGTTCTGATCTTGGAACAGCCCGTTCTGGGCCACTTTTCAAGAAACGTTTACTTGCGCCCGGCGCAATTCCTTTTTACGCCCGGCGCAGTTGGTTCCAGAGAGTCCTCTCTGCTCTCTACGCCCGGCGCAATTATGTTTTGCGCCCGGCGTGTTTGCTTCTAGAGGGAGCTATATGCTCCTTGCGCCCGGCGTACAAGTTTCAAGCCTGGCGCAAACACCTCTGAACCCCTTTTTGTTGTGTTTTAGTTTCTTTTTAGGTTTCTTTTTAAGTCTAAGGCTAGTTTTCATTTTGAGTTACTTGAACTAGTCATCATTGTATGTTTTTATGCTCATGTCTGTCTGCCTGGATTTCTTGTTTTATGTTCTGTAGATGGCCTCCTCAAGTAAGCGCCCCCGTGCTAGCCAATCGGGTCAACCTCCACGCAAGCCGCGTAAACCCTATTCCAACCTCTTCCTCACCGAGTGGAATGAGACTCATTTTGAGTCTATCAGTAGCATGAAGTTTATTTTGGAACGGCGGGTTAAGTTGGAGCCAAATGAGGCCCTAGAGTTCCAGACGGAGTTACACAAGCGCCGGTGGGACAAGCTTGGATCCTACCCACTCCCGGCCAACATAGCAGTGGTTAAAGAGTTCTATGCCAATGCCTTGAGAATGGAGGAGGGCATTGCGCCATTTACCAGCTATGATAGGGGCGTGCGAGTCCCCTATGATGCCAGGACGATTAATCAGTTGCTGGGGACTGAGTTGAGGGCTGATGAGGTGTTTGAGTATGGCAACTACTCAACTGACACGATGGACCCTGCAGTGGTAGAGGCTGCCATCTGCATGCCTGGACTTGGGTTCCACAGGAACCGATCTCAGCAGCCTCTCCACGTGAAGCGTCGGGATCTTCTTCCAGTGGTCAGGATTTGGTCTGCATTGGTGCATGCCAACATCCTCCCGTGCTCACATGTCTCCGACCTGCACTGGACCCGATCCATGCTCATGTACTACATCATGACCCAGAGGACCTTGGACCTGGGCAACATCATCTGTATTGAGATCTCGGGCTGCGCCAACCCTGCTCCTTCCTCCGCCCTTGGACATCCGTCGTTCATCACGCAGTTATGCCAGCTGGCTGGTGTAGATGTCCACTCACCACCTTTTGAGGGTCCTGGTAGGGCCATTGACAGCAGATACATCTCTGCCTATTGCCAGAACCGCGCACCGCCAGCCGTCCCTGTCCCCGAGCCTATTCATGCCGCCGGACCTCAGGAGAACATACCCTTGGAGGATGCTGCTGCTCCAGTCCCTCCACTCACTCTCAATCACCGTTTTGACGCACTGGAGGGCCGCATGGAGACCTATATGCAAAGGCAGGAGGACCGGATGGAGTCCCTCCACCGCGGGCAGATGTTCATATTGGATACCTTCAGGAGTTTCTCCCTGCACACTGCTCCTGCCTACCAGTTTCCCACCACTACTGACTATCATGCTTACACTGGGTGGCCTGGGGACAAGGCTCCTCACTTTGGGGGAGGTGGAGCTGCTACTGATGCTGATGCTGCTGAGTAGGATAGAGCACCTGCTGAGGATGATGACTAGCTGCCTTAGCCATTTTTATTGTTTCTTGTCATTTATTTTTAGTTGTTTAATTGTGTTTGTCCCAAAACTCTATTATTATATTTAGTTCTTTTTGGTGATTACTTGTTGGTTCTTTTTGTGAATATTCTACTTTAGCACGGTTTTTAATCTTGTTGATACTTGCTTTGCTTGTGGTCGATTCTGGATTGTGGTTTGCTTAACGTTTGTGGTGCGTGTACCTTAGACATTTTCAAGTCACGTTAGATCTTTAGTCCATGACTAGTTGCATACGGGTTTCAATGTTGATCATAGAACTGAGCTGAGTTTGATAATTTGTGGATGCATACCCGGGTGAGGTTTGAGCCTAAATACCGATGAGTGAACTACGCTTAAGTTGCATGATAGATTTTGCTTGAGTTTCCCTGGTGGTTTGCTTATGTTGTGCATTTATGTGATCAAGGCATTCATATTCCTTTATTTTGTTAACCTCCTAAGCCAAAAAGTCATCTCCACTTTTAACTTGACCCATACCTTCCTAAGCCTAAACACCACACCTTCCACTTGTCCCAAATCATGAAAAATTAACCATAACCTTTGCTTTGGTTAAGAGAGCAAATTGATAACATAAAATAAGTTTGGGGGGAGTTGAAGAATGAGGAATTTTGGGAAGAAGAAAGTATGTGGTCAGCATTCAAAATAAAAAAATAAAAAAATAAAAAAAATAAAAAACAAAACAAAACAAAAGCAAAAAAATACTAAGATGCAAAAGTGTAAATATGCATCTCACAAAGTCTAATGGCTTGGATCCGGGTAGGGGCATGTGCTGAATTGTTGTATTGGGGTATAGAGAGGGATATCATTGTAGAAATCTCAATTGCTCTCTTAAGCCATAGCAACTTGAATCCTTGAAAAACCATGAGATTGTTATTGCTTAACCCAGATTTGCCCTAATAAAGACCTTGTGATAAGTGCCTGCATCTGTTTTACCACTGGTTTCATTTGGAAACGAAGAGCAAAGTTGAATCATGTGGCGTGAGTAGTAGATATGAGAGAAACACTCACCCTGATACACTAGTGTGCATAGAGAGAAACACTTTCCTAGTGAGGATGTATTCACAGATAGTCATTAACTTTTCTCAGCTCTTTGATCTCTTTTGAAACCTTTGTTTGCACCTTGTCATGTTCCATTGCAATAATTGTGACTGAAAGTTCATCTGAGGTTCATGCTTGCGAAAGGAAAATATAAGTGAACTATGATGTAGAATTGGACACACATACATTGCTTGTTATCTGCTAGATTTATTACCTGTTGCTTGAGGACAAGCAAGGTTCTAAGTTTGGGGGAGTTGTTAAGTCTCAATTTTACTTCTTTTTGGATGAGACTTATTGAACAATTCCACTCATCCTCTGAACCATTGCAATATAATTGTTCTCTTTTTGGTTCATTTTGTGTGCAGATATAACTAACCCAAATTCATCTAACAATACCTTAATCCACCTCATTTTTTGTGCAGGTATCGAGTGAAGAGTGGAAAGTTGAAGATCCTTTGGATTGGAAATCTAAGAAGCTAAGGAGTTGAGAAGAGTGAATGCGCCGAGCTCCACATGACCCGCGCCGGGCGTGATCAAAACAGAGTCTCACCTCTGCAAAGCCACATCTGCGCCGGGCGTAAAATTAATTGCGCCGGGTGTGTCCTAAGGCAGAGAGTATTTGGAAGACCCCGCGTCGGGCGTGAAGACTTATGCGCCTAGGGCGAAACCCTAATCTGATCTCCCCAAGCTCGTATTTGAAGCCATTTTCGAGGGTTTCTCCCTCATTCACACATTGGGCGCCTTTTAGGAGCTGTGGAAGGGATTCCCGGAGCTTGGAGCCATTCATGTGTGGGTCTTTCCTTCGGTTCTTCATTTCCTCTTTCATCTCTATTTTGTATTTACCCTCATTGTTGAGTGGTTC